CACCCAGCCCACACTACCTCACCTCAGCTGGGCATCACAAGCTGATCAAGAGTTGTCAAGCCACCGCACACAGCAACCTGTATGTGGGGAATTCCGTCAGCTGCCTAACTCTTGCTCAGCATCCCCAGAGCAAAGGCATCTTACCGAGCACACAGCACGCGGACAACTGACGAGCCTCACGTGCTTTTGTGTCCACCAGGAAGCAGGTGCTCAGTGAGTGAGCAAACAAGCGGGTGCGCAACAAAGCGGACGCCAACGCAACCGCACTGGAGTAGCGCAGCCGTCTACACCTCTCCAGCGTGGGCTGGGAAGACCTCTGTTGGTACCACACTGGTTAGAGATCACTGTTCCTGCAGTTTAGAACAGGTGCTGCCTCAGCTCCATGACCAGAGGTGGGGTCTTTAAAGACAGCCCCAAACAAACCACTTGCCAGGGCAGGAAGCAACGGAGAAAGAAAAGTTGCCTATTTTTAGGCACAGGCAGTTGCAAACATGCACAGATACTGGTGTGAGGACAACCAGAAGCAGCCACTGACATACTCATGAAGGCAGTGCACACTGCCCCTTCACTAGCTTCTTACCTCTGCAAAGCTGGGCAGCACAGCGCTTGCGCAGCCATGGGCCAAGCCCTGCATTCAATCCCCAGCACCAACGCCACAAACCCTGCTCACCTGCTTTAGGCCACAGCTTCCAGCCCGCCCTCAAGAGGGAAGGGACGCGCTCCCACCTTTGAGCTCTTGCCCGTGCTCGCCTGCAGCCTGCCGGCTGCACTGCACGTGTCAGGGCCGGCGCAGAGCTTTAGCTCCAAGGACACCCAGGTTCAACAGCTCCACTGTCCAGTGTAAAAGCTCTTGCTCCTCGCCACAGCTGTGTGGCACACTTGCTCCCACACCACTCGGACATTACATCCTTTGAGCCTGCAAAGCAGCCTGACCTGGCGTGGTAGAGCAGATACTCTGGAAGCGCAGATTTAAAGAGCAGCTAAGCCCTACCAAGGACCAAGTGACTTCCAAAAAGTACTCGACTTGGCAGCCATCCAGAGGGCACTGCAGGCAGGCTGGCGGCGGCGGCAGCAGCATAGGTACGGTGGCTGATCACACACCGGCCGAGGGACAGACGCCTCAACCCTGCAGCCACCGCGGCAGATGGGCCTGCTACTTCAAGAGGCTGGAAAAGCAGGCCCGAAAGGGAAATACGCTACATTTCCAAACGCCATCCACATCCAAATTGCTCACAGCCAGCCACACCGGCTTCTGCTACCTCACTCTGAGCAGTTTGTCTGCAAAAAGCAGCCGAGTTGGACATTCTCCAGAGTGCAGTGCATGGGGGCCACCCTCCCTGCACAGCCTCAAAGAAGCCCCCTGCTTGCCGGCCTGAGACCACCTCTGCTCCACAGGGCTCCACCAGGTCCCTAATCGTCACCCAGCAGAGACCATTGAAAACCCCTCCCGCCGCTGCTCCAGCCTGCTGAGGGTCTGCCCCAACAGCACCCTGCCTGCTGCACCCTAGCTCAGAGGAAGGTGCACTGAAGACCCGACTCCCACATCCTGGTCCTGCCAAGGGAACAGATCCCCAAGCAAGAGCACAGAGCCCAGGACACACGATTCAGGAAGAGCCCCTAAACCAGCTCTCCAGTAAGCAAAGCTATTCCACACCTGCTGCTTCTCCCCTGCCCTCCACGACACATCCTTCCCGCTCCAGTGGCACTTGCCTTCTCCTGGGTGCTTCCTTCCTAACCAACCAGGTCTTCCCATTGTCCACTGCTTCCTGAGATGACCAGACATGGTTCTTAATGGCATTTGTATTTGTACATTTGGCTCCCCCGCATGGGTCCAAGATGCAAGCTTATTCTGGATGTCAAGGAAAACGACATCCAAGTCCCGCAGCGAGCCAATCAAGGCCTCTTCCCCCAAGCCCAGCACCAGAGCTCCCTGCCCACTGGTTCCCTGCAGCACCCCTCACCCTGCAGTGAGGGGCAGCTCAGGCCGTCACCCAGAGACCTCTTGGCCATCCTGGGACCCTACGTGAAAAAAAGCACATGACCCTGTTTAAGTCACAAGGGGTAGACGACTCACCCACCAGCCAAGCACAGTGACACATACTCTTTAGACCACAGTGGCCCTCCAATTCACCCCTCGCAAAACACTCCCATAAATGCAAACTTGCAACACAGATGATAGATCTTGTTCTCTCCAGGGTGAACGAAGACGTGATCTAGTGAGTATCGCCCACCAAAGCCCTGAGAGCTGAGGTGATAACCACAGTGGGGGCTCTAGGTCATCCTCGAGCTGCAAAGATGTCACCCCAGCCCGAGCTCTCTGGGAACAGGCAGCAGTGGAAACCCACGCGTGGGATGCACCGACAGACTTCAAACAGTCAGACACAGGGAAGGTTTTACAGTTTATTAAATCCTCTCGTGAACAAAGTCGCAGTCACTGCAGACACGCACTGCAGAATCTACTCCTTCGGCTGTGAGGCAAGAGAAAGAACGTTAGTCAGCAACTGCCTTGAACTTTACAGTCTTCAAAAAATCCCAAAATTTAACATTCATGCAGAACAGACATTAGTGACCTACTTACATCTGTGAGACAACATAAGCATCACAACAACAGTTAGGGATTAAAAAAATAAACATTGCTAAGTTTTAAACATTGCTAAGGCTGAGATAAGATGACAGCTGTGAGTTCAAGTTTTAAAAAAATCACAAAACTAAAACGTCATGACAGTGTTAGTATTTTAAGAGGTACAACTGAGAGCATCTGCACATCTATACACAAACGTGCATCTCGTGACTGTTTACAGTATCAGCAAACCAGGGGATCCACTTATCTACATTAAGAATTAGAACTATACCTGTTCTCCAATCTCCAGCTCACTGAATCAGTGGCAGGGAAGGGAAAGAGGAAAAGAAACAGTTTGTTAATTGTCCCCTCCCAAAGAGCAAAATAACTTCAGCTAAGTGCATGCAATCAGACACCGTCCTGCGATGGCTCTGCGCCTCTTAACTGTACCCACAACGCTCCTCAGACAGTCTCTGATCTCACCCCGGCCGGTTCTGAGCGCCCCTTGCTGTATTGTGCTGTTAAATGAGGCGGCATGATGTGCCCGTGAGGTGCCCAGCTCAGACTTGACCACCAGGCCCGGGCAATATCCATGGCTGGAGACACCCAGACTCGTGCTCAAATTTATGCCAGCCCCAGGATAGCTCCAAAAGGGTCAGGCAACCCTTTTAAAACCCTGCCTCAGTTTAATACTTTTAAAAGTCAGCACTCACAACACAAAAGGAATACAAATCAGTAGTGAAAACAAGAGGCAGAATGTAACTGCAGTAAGAATGGGACGGCTTCTACTCATATGACGTTACTCAGGCTTTAAAACAACTCCATCACACCCACGAGGGAACCGTTACCAACATAAGTAAGCTGAACTTGTTGGGCAGGGTAGTGCACGCCTGTAATCCTACTGCTCAGGAGGCTGAGGTAAAATGATAGCTGTGACTTCAAGCCCAGCCTAGACGATCTCAAAAAAGCACAAAGAAAACCTCCAAGCTTAACCAAAAGGAGTACTGGCCAGGCATGGTGGTACGCTCCGTAATCTCAGCACTCGAAGGCACAGCCCGGGTTAGAGTAAGCTCAAGGCCAGCCTGAACTACACGGCAAGACCCTGGTTCCAAAAACAAAAAACAAAATATATCGCTCCTGAAATCACTAAAGCAGGCTGAGGCAGAAAGAGCAGCAGCTCAGCTTCCCACAGGGAGCCTCTCCTCATGAGGGGCTCAAAGCTGAGCCTTACATCATGGGACTCCAAGGCTGAGTGGAAAAGAATCAGGAGTTAAGGAAATCCAACTGCCTTTGTGCTACCTGCCAGGAGGCGTAACCCTCAGGGTGTCACCAGCAGCCCCATGAGGTGGAAGCGTCGGGCTTGGTCCTGGGCAAGCAGGGGCACCTACCTTGCCGGGCAGGAGTCAGAAAACCCAGCCAGAGGCAGCAGCCTTGCTACTTCAAACCCTACACATGCTCAGTGCACCTCACAAGTTACAAATGGAGGCTGTCCCCATGTGCAAAACGTGACAGCGGATGTTTGTTCCAGCTGTTCTGAACTCCACAATGAAATCACAACTGTCCAAATATACCACAATGTGGCATATGGATTACATACGGTTTCTTACATATGAACACATACGTATCTGGAACAGACTGCTCTGAGCACGTGCTTGTGGAGAAAGCATTACCGAGGGCTCTGATGTAATACCCTGGTAACAAAAAAATGTCTACCAAAATGCAGAGTGGCAGGAGATGCGGCTTCATGGCAGAACACCTGCCTAGCCTGTATGAGGCCCTGCGCCGAATTCCAAGTACAGGAAGGGGGAGGTGGTGCACACTAGAAGAAATGGAAATGCGAAGCACCAGCTCTGACGCTGCCACCAGAAATCTGCAGCCTGGCTCTTACCAGAGCTGCCCCAATCCCACTGGCGCCGCAGCTTCGGGGGGAGCATGCTGTGCAGGCAAGAGCCCTCCCCAGGAGTTAACAACGTGTCTCCAAAGGATGGGACTCTGGGCTCGGTGTTTCCCAGGGATGTGGAAAGGGCCAAGGGCTGGGTACCCACCTGCTCCCCGTGAGTCACCTCACCACTCAACATGCACGTTTTAACTTCCAAACGCCACTCGTGAATGTGCGCCTGGCTCACAATGCACTCACAACTCGGCCCTGGCACTGCTGTGTGATCTTACAACAGTGTGTGACACTCCTCCAAGCCCACATGCAAAAGCGTCAAAGCAATCTCAGTGAAGGCGCTGCACCCCACACCGTGCTACGATCTCAGTACCTGCCACTTCATTTCTGACGAACAGTAATCCAAGACAGTAGAGGGAAACGGCAAAAAAAAAAAAAGTTCACAGAACACTCGATTATTTGATTTCACAAACCAACACCTTAATTTCACCCAACTATTTATAACTAACTAGCAAAGCAGATACAAAAGCTGCTATTGTCAAAATCACTGGGTCTGGGCTCCCTGGAGAAGCAGCCTGAGGCCCAGGGTGCCTCTCCAGCGTGCCAGGACAGCACGGGCCACACTGGTCCCACACTTTGGAAACCAGAGTTCATTCCAAAAAATAAGCAGCCCCAGGGAAGGAAGTCTGTTCCCGATGCCCTGCCAATCAGGAGTTAAAAGCCTTCTGGTGTGGCCCTGGAGGCACACTGCGCTCCCTGAACCAGTGTGGCCCGTGCCGGCTGATCTACGCGCGGACGGGGTGGCAAGCTACTCTACGGGGTGTCAGGACACTATGCGCTAGGTGGTGTCTCCAAGCATGTTACCTTCTGTAATCCAGAAGAGGAGGAAAAGAAGAAACATCAAGAAAGGTTATTAAGAAACACAACAGCTCCTCTCCAGAAACTAAAGACCCGCCTGCACCGCCTGCGACCTGTACCTTTTTGCCAGCACCAACGTTAGCCTTTGCGGTGCCCCTGACTTTCTTCATTCTGTTCTTGCGTTCCTTCCGCTGCTTTCTTGAGGTCTTTTTCTTCTCATACAGGCCGTGCTGCAAGAGACAAAAGTCCATCTCAGTATTGGTGGCCAACAAAGCATCATTACTCACAACTCTGATGGGAACTGGCTACATCGGGGGTTGTGGAAGGCCAACGAGACTCTTTCTCAACTACCAAGACACCCCCTCCATCTGTACTCAGAGCACTCTGGCAGGCTGTGGCAGGATTAGGTCAAGCCCAGCCTGTGAAACTCAGAAACTTAGCTAGAATGTGTTGCATGGAAAACAAAAAGAGCCCTGGCTCTGCCAAAGAAATAATAACGAAGAAAAAAAAGCTTTTGAGTGTGGCTCTTTTTGGTGTTTTTGTTTTTGGGCCCAAATACCAAAAACAAAAGCACCTCCCACCTGGCTTTACTCTGGAGGCCTCTCCCCATTTCAACATCCCCATTGGGTCAGCGAAGCCATTATTTACCAAGAGCTCTAGCCTCTCTACGTTCCTATTCATCTTCACCGTCTACTTTGTTTTGTAGCCCAGACTGGCCTCAAACTTGCAACCCTCAACCTCAGTCTGTGGCATGTGCCGCGGCGCTGGGCTTCCACGGTCCACTCCTGCATTCGCAGCTCTTGCTGCCCCGCTGAGCCCCACCCTGGACAGGGACCTCATCCTCTAGTTGCAGCTCTGCCAGGCCTTCCCAGACCCCCAACTGCCACCAGTGAGGTACCCACATCTCTTACTTCCCTTACAAATGCTGTACAGGATGACTAGCAGCAAGGGTGTGGGGGACAAGGGGACAGGTGAAAGACACATCCAAGGGGACACCTTCCATTAGGCTCTAAGCTAGGGAGTTGGCCCGCTCCGTGGGGCCTGGGGCTTGGCGCACAGCCAAAAGCTGGCTACCTACCAGTGGGGACCAAGCCCAAGTTCACTGCTGTGTCCACAGGCCTGAGAACCTGGGGCCAGGCCGCAGTTCCTACCCCAGCCCGCTGCTTGCTCCCCCGGCCCAGCTCCTAAGCTTCATTTTATCTGCCCTCCACTCAAAATTCCACTCTCGAAACCTGAGCCTCCATGCTGTGCACGAAGATCATCCCAACCCACTGGGCATCCGGCATCTGCACGCTACATAACCGTGTCTATGCTACTACAGCCAGGTCACAAAGGCACTGAAACCAAGTCTGCCATCGCTGCAGACCCAACCGAAGGCACCTACTCTTGCAAGTCTGTGTTTGGGCTCATTTTTCTTCGCATAATCCAGGGAGTCATAAATCATGCCAAAGCCAGTCGTCTTGCCACCACCAAAATGGGTTCTGAATCCAAACACAAAAATGACATCTGGTGTGGTCTTGTACATCTTGGCGAGTTTTTCCCGAATTTCTGTCTTAGGTACTGTTGCTTTCCCAGGGTGAAGGACATCAATGACCTAAGAAATGACACCAAGTTCAGCGTTAGTTATAATGAAATACAAAGAACAAATGAAGCAAAGCCTTGTGTACCCTTCCTCACCATTTGTTTCCTTTGAAGAAGCCGGTTGGTCATGAATTTCCGGGTTCGGATAGTTACTGTGTCATTCTGCAAACATTAACACATTAGTTAATAAAATAACTCAAGCTAGTATTAGTTATTGAAACTGTAATACCGATTTGATTTGAAACTGTCTCATTGCTATCTGTTTATCAATAAAATTTTGAAAAAAAAAAAAAAAAAAAAAACTCAAGCTTTTCGTGAAGCTGCTGTGATTTTCCACTATCTACAACTGTACTAATTTAACAGCCAACAGCCTTGTGGTTCAATAATTGGAATTCAGGAATATTTAAGCTATATAGCCCAGGCTGCCCTAGAACTTTTAGGGATCCTCCTGCCTAGGGTCCCTGCAGGCCAGAACTATAGACATGTACCACCACATCCCAATCAGTTTTTGAGACATTCAAAAGCCACAAGCCATAAATAGGAAGGTTCCAATGAAAATGAGGCAAATTTCCATCTCCACCCAATACTGCATCAGTACCAAGCTCCCAGAACATGCTCACTACGGCACCAAGAAATTGTACTCCATTTCTGTCCATCTCTAGATTTTACTTCCCCTTCTAAATTACAGGTATCCCTCCACGGCAGTGTTTCCCACCTCCGCGCTACTGGTATTTTAATCTGGGTAATTCTCAGGGAGCCAGGGGCTGTCTCAGACTATGTAATGCCTGGTCCCCAACCACCACACACTAACTTCGCTGCGCTATCAAAATGTCTCCAGACTGCCAGTTTCCTTCGCTAGGGATAAAAATCCAATTGAAAATCCCAATTATTCTCAGAACCCTGGTTCTAAATCCTGTGCAAATGTGACACAGAAACGCCACACTCACTAATACGCTACTTCACGCTTTTAATGCATCTGGTACAGTACGCTTCTTGAAAAGCCTCAAAGACCTCACGAGAAAACCGCACTGCCTTCTGGATTACCCGACAGTTACCACTTTCACATACCATGGGGTACGTGGACGTTTCTCAAGCTTATATTGGCTAGAGCTAAGTTTTCCAAACTTCGAGAAAGCTGTCACCAGCGAATGACTTGCTAAAGCGTTCTTTCCACGTCACCCGGCCAGAAATCACTTCAGTGATACTTAATTCTTTAGAACCAGAGACAAGCCGAAAGATTAAGCTTCAAGATGGGGCTAAGCACCAGGTGTGGAGCCTTCAAGGATGGGGCTAACCGAGCGGGACCTTGGTGGTAAGCCTACCCTTCTTCTGCAGCAGCCCTTTCCGGGACCTCCGTTTCCGCTGCTTCTCCCCGCGCGAGCTGCCATCGCCCGCAGGCTGCATACCGCAAGTGGGGGCTGCAAGGGACGCGCCCGCCGACAGCCCAGCCCGCCCCACCCGCCGCGCCCCACGAGGCAGCACGGCGCAGCCGCCGCTCCCTCAAGCCCGACGGCCGGCGTGTCCCGGGCCCCAGCGCAGCCTGCCGGCCGGCCCCCACTTCCAACAGCGGCTCCGCGAGCCTAGGCCGCTGACGCCCGAAAGACACAACCAGAAGAGAGCAGCCGGGCTGCGGGAGGCGGCAGCTCCGACGACGGGGCTGGGGGACGAAGGATGGCTCGGATTTGCGGCGGATGATAGCTCAAGTCGGGGGCGACTCACCATGATGGCAACGGAGCCTCAGACAGCCCGGGAGGAAAAGAGAAACGCTCCGCTCCGGCCAATCATATCAACGCGCATGGAAGGACCCCGAGCGGCGCCGGCGTGGGGGCGTGTCCCTAGCCGCGAGGCCGACCGCGTCAATGCCCGATTGAAAATGTCTAAAACCCCACCTCCCTGACCTTTAGCCACACCCCTGGGATGCTGGATTGACCAATCGGAAAGCAGAACAGCTCCAGAGGCTAAATTCGCTCCTATTCCATTTCAGTTTAATTCCATTTCACTATTCTTTCTGTTGAGTTTCCTCTATTCAGAATCTCCTTAAACTAAACCAGGTTTGGTGGTATACGCCTGTAATCCCAGCACTTGGGAGGCTGAGGCAGGAGGATCGTTGTGAGTTAGAGACCAGCCTGGGCTACAAAGTGAACTCAAGGCCAGTTTGAACTGCATAGCAAGGCCCTATCTAAAAAAGACAAGGGCCGGGGAGATAGCTCAGTAGAATAAGTGCTTGCCTGGCAAGCACAGGGTCCTGAGTTCAATCCCCGGTACCGCAG